TCCTTCTAATGTCTTATTGTATTGTCCAGGCTAGCTTAGAATTATCCATGTAGACAAAGCTGACCTTGAACTCAGAATTCTCCTCTGTCAGCATGTTGGGCACTGGAACTGCAGGTAGGTGCCACCATGCTTGACTTTGTGTTATTTTTCAGTGATTTTCAGAGGATTCTCCCCCAAATAGTAAACAGTCCTGAGATACTCTGTATGGATAATTGAAACTCATTACTTTTACTTTACAGAATGAGAAATGTGTGTGTGTGTGTGTGTGTGTGTGTGTGTGTGTGTGTGTGTGTGTGTGTGTAGAGGGGGGCATTAGATCACTCATTTAATCCAGAAATTTTTATCAGGACATCCTCTGTAGGCTGTGTGACTTGTGCTGATAGATCCAGGACAGTCACGCTGTAGCTGTGTGGCTTCCTGCTTTGACATCACTAGGGACTGAACTGGTTGTTTGGTGGAACCATCTGGACAGGGAATCAGACTGTCTCCACCCTGATGCCCTGAGTTGTACACTTTACTTGGTTTCTTCTGTCTTTGCTGAGAAGCTGTGAAAACTTAAATTGGGTCCCACCCTCCAGTCATTAAGCTCTGGGGTGCCATTGCCTCGACGGCAAGGCTCACCTTCCTTTTTCTTGTTGGAATTCTGGGTAAGATGGTTAATCACAACTGAACCATAATGACCACTGTCTTCTGAGTGTTGCTTTCTATGGACTTGGCACCATCCTAAACACTTAATCCCTAATGTCATTAATTCTTACAATGACTTCATTTGGTAGCTAACGTTAAAGTTATTAACAGACAAATGCCTTCAAGTGAGTTTGAGTTGCATACAGCCTACATTGAAGGAAAAAATGTCTGCACTAGTGAAGTCATGCATGGAAAAGACAAAAGATTCTTTCTCAAGTTATCTATAACATTTTACATTTGCTAATAATTCTTCCCCTTTGGAAAATAATCCTCTTTAGATGTGGGTATTATATAAAATACACGTCTATTCCCGACTATTCTGGAACCAATTACCAGAAGTTTAAAATAGCCTAGTGTCACTGTCTGTCCCCTCTCTCCTGCCCACCCCTCAGTGTTCCTCTCTTCATAGCTCTGTCCTTTGCAAACAAAGAGGAGATGAGCAGAAACTCAAAGCTGTCAGGTTTGGTTACCTGCTACCAGCTCCGCCGCAGACCAGGTAGGCGAGAGTCAGAGACTAATAGGAGGCTTGTCATTGGGCATTTTCCGTGCTAGCTCTGTCCTTCCTGCCACAGAAGTCTGGATGCTGCCATTGAGATCCAGTGACCCCAAGCCACTGGGTAACAAGAGAGCATTGATTACATAACCATGTTATTTCCAGGTGTTAGCATTCCCCTCAACTTACCCCCAAAATCTCCAGGCTAGTACCTGGTGTGGCTTGACTCTACCACACACACATACAGGGCATATTTGTTGTCATCCACCATGAATTCTAACCTCTTGTTTATTGGGCACCTGCCCTATGTAATATCCTTCTGTGTTGAATACTAAAGAAACAAGAGCCCCAGGGAGGATGTTTGTGTATAAAAACTAGATACAAGTGAAAAAAACTAATAAATAAATGCTCCTTTTTCTATCCTTCCTTATTGTAAATTATGTGCTGTGTCTGTAGCCTGCGTTCTCTAGTTTGTTTAGAATCTAAAGTACACGATTTTCCAATATGGCAGCTGTAACAAATTACTGTAGACTCAGTGCCTCAAACAGCACAGATTCATTGTCTTCTTCAAGGTTCAGAGTTCGGGAGGCCAAAGGGGGTCAAAGTGCCAGCCAGGCTACAGTCGTTCTGGAGGCTTGAAGGTGAATCTGTTTTCTGGTCTTCTCCAGGCTCTCAGGAGGCTATTCATACAGCTTGACTCCTGGCCTGTCTTCTCACCCACAGCCAAGTGTTGGTGGTGCTTTTCACATGACATCATTCTGGCTCTTCTGAATCCTTTTCTGCTTTTAAGGACCCATGAGGACATAGTGGGACATCCCACGATGAGATGATCTCCTAGTTGTAGCCATCTGCTTCAGACTGGCAGGTGCATAGAACACCTGCTCAGTTTCCATTGGTATGAATTCCTCCAAGACAGATTATGCGCCCAGGAAGAGAAACTAGCTCAGTTCCCACTTCAAGTCTGTACCTCAGCACCTGTACTAGGCAGCTTCTCTAGAGAAAAAGAACCAACGATGTGCATGTGTACAATGAAAGGGGCATCCCTGGAATGCCTGGTGATACACTAAGGGCTGGGTAGTCTAACCGTGATTATTTATACAATGAAGAAAACGAGAATCACAGTCCACAAAGCTAGATGCCCCAGTAGTCCCCTTCTGGTGCTGAGGATTCCTGAAGAACTTTGGGTCCTCAATCTATGTGAAAAGGCCAAAGAATCTGATGTTTAGTGCCAGCAAAGATGGCGGTGGCATCATCATCATCATCATCATCATCACCATCACCACCACCACCACCACCATCATCATCATCATCATCATCATCAAAGACAAGGATAAACACACAGGGCAGCCAAAAGCAGAAAGGCAGTACTGAGCCACTGAGTCTTTCCCCTTCAATCAATCTTTCCTGGAATTTCTCTCACAGACCTGCCCAGAGCCACTGGTCCCTAGATGACTCTAGCCCCTATCAGGTTGACAATCAAGATTCTCTATCACAGTATTTCCAAATTGGTGACAAACGGTTGGGATCTTTTGGTTGAGACCAGGCTCCTGCATCAGCTTCTCCTCTTAACTTAAACGTTTTGGTGTTTATGCCTAGATTTGTTGGAAGAACAGGGATGCAAAAAGGAGGTAGAAAGTCTTGAGAGGTCTCTAGATTAAGGATGGTGGCCCATGTCTATAATCCCAGGGGCAGAAAGACCTTGGGATTGACACTCTGTCTCAAACACAGAAGAAAAACAATCCTGAGGCAGATGCAGATAGTGGATACATTTAGGTGATGCCCACCTCAGGTTCATTTTAAACGTTCTCTCCAAATCCAAAGGGTCCTGTATTGAGCATAGGCAAAAGAACCTCTAAATATGTCACATTTTGTCATATCAATCCCTGTCATGTGGTGCCAAGGGTGCCACAGAAAACAAACAAAAACCTCATTTTGGAGATGTCCAATAAGTCTCAGTATTGTTGACCTATGTGAAAGTCACCCTTGCTGTTCCTTTTTGCCCTGAACATGTCACCCTGAACAGGTTACCTTCCATCCCTCCCCTAAAGCAGCTTCATGGACCAAAGCCATCTTCTCTGATCATAACACTTCCCTGCTTGGTGGGCAAGACAGCTTGAGACTGGCTCCCTTGGACTCCTTTTAGGAATATGTGCTATTCATTAATTCCCAGAATGTTTAGCACAGAGCAGCACTCCCCCCAGGTAGCAGAGATGGGTGGTACAATTCTTCAGTGACCTCAGGCAGCCCTTGTTCCCTACACTTTACCCCGAGGCACCGTAATGAGATTTGTGAAGACCCTGTTTTTATTCTGAAGGGAATCTGAGCCCCACTAGACAGCAGTTTCCTCCTGATCTGAGGAGAGCTAACAAGTGAGGCAGAGAAACAAATGGGCCTGTCCTTGTTAAAGTCGCTGCCTGGTGTTCCCATTAAAACGGACCAATCAGAGAAACCTTCTCACACGTAATTGCCACCAATACATCCATCACGCCACAGCTATTTCTACCAGAGTCCAACCTGCCAATATAATTAAAGGAGGAAAAGAGAACAAATTTATTCATGGGGGTCATCCATCAGGGTCATGTTTACGCTTCTGCTGTTAACCAGTACTGGAGTCTTCTTTCTCAGAGAATTTGCTTGCATCTCAAAGGTACTTGGGAGCTTCCTGCAAGGAATTGACCAGAGGGAAATGTCCAGCAGGTAGATCAAAGTTGGGAGCCCTGAGCTCTGCGAGTAAAACACCTTATCTAAGTAACTTTGCCCGAATCATTTAGCCTCTCTGAGTCTCTTACTTTCCTATCAAACACTGAATTGCACGGAGCAGAAGTTCTCAAGACTGCTTTGTTCTCTTCCTTTATCCCCACCCCCTTCTTCATGGCCTTTTTTTCTTCCCCCAGGAGCACTGAGTAGTATTATAAATAGGACTCTAATTAATGACCTTGCCAAAAACATGGTTAAAGCTGTTCAAACTGAGAGGTTATGGGTGGGCATATATTCTTCCATATAAAGGAAAATGAAATTAATCTTGTTAGAAACAGAACACCTTCTAGAGGAGGCAAAGGGTGCCATGGGAGTGGGAAGGAAGCCATTTTTGTAAGGAGTTCCTGTGGGGTCTGGGACTGACTTTGGAGGAGCCATCAGGGAGACAATAGGCAATGTTCAATCCTTGCTCTTCTGGCTTCTCGCTTTTTGTGGCTGTTGCTTCCAGCTCTGCTGATGATTTAACATCCTCCATCCAGCTCTAGGTGCTGTAGCAAGACAGAGCCTTGGGCCTCAGTATGTCTCCCTCTAGATCATCTCCCAGGGAGGTGCTGGCAAAACTGTATACACCTCACTTCATTTACCAGGTATGCTCTGGTAACACTTAGATGCGTTCCTCCATTCCACACCTTTGCTCTGAGCTTCAGGCCTGCCCATCTTTCTTTCCATGAAGCACCTCCATCAGGTGTCTCAGAACCTCAGATGAAACTTGGCTGAGGTGAGATAGTGCTGTCCTCATGTGTGGTGATACATTGTGCACCTTAATAAAATTTACCTGAAGATCAGAGAGCAGAACAACCACTAGATTAGACATAGAAGCCAGGCAGTAGTGGCACACACCTTTAATCCTAGCACTCGGGAGGCAGAGATCCAGGATCTCTGTGAGTTCAAAGCCACCCTGGACTACATGAGATTGACTCAGTCTAGGAGAGAAAACAGAGCCAGGCAGTGGTGGCACACACCTTTAATACCTATACTGGGAAGCACACATGTTTTTAATCTCAGGAAGTGATGGCTGGGCAGAGAAAACTATATAAGGCGTGAGGAGACAGGAACTAAAGACTTTGGCAGAAGCATCCCTTTCAGCGAGAGGCTTTTTTGGCTGGAGCCTTTCAGGTGAGGACTCAGAGGATTTCAGTCAGAGGATTTGTAGAATTGGTGAGGTGAGATGTGGCAGTGGCTTGTTTCTTTGTCTCTCTGATCTTTCAGCATTTATCCCAATATCTGGTATCGAGTTTTTTTATTGTAAGATCAATCAGCAATTCGTGTAACACCCATGTCTAACTCTGGTCTTGCTGCCCTGTCTGCTGCCTCAGGACATGGAACCTGAATGTAAAAGCCTTCCAGACAAGTGTGCTCGGTGCCTCTCTCTTTCAGTCACCACCAGTCCAGCCATGTGTTCCAGTTTCACAGCTTACGTGTGTGGCTGCCATAGCCTTTGGCTGACCTCCATCATCCTCACTCTCACCCAGTCCTTTCTCCAGACCTGACCATTCAGTGGCTCTGTACTTCACTCTTTCTTGGTCACTGTTTGCTGAAAGCCCTTTCCAAGCTTCAGGAATAAAATTCCACAGTCATCACAAGACTTACCCTTATCCCTGGCTGCCTTAACTCTATTCTTGTGTGACAGACACAATGACTTTTGATGTTGGGTTTTATTTTTTTAATTGCATATATATGTGGTTGTCTTATGTGCAGGTATATGCATATAAGAGCAGGTGCTCACGGAGGCCAAAAGAGGGCAGCAGATCCCTTGGAGCCTGAGTTACAGGAGGTTGTAAGCCACTGATTAGGCTGCTGGAATCAAACTCAGTCCTTTAGAACAGTGCACGATTTTAATTGATTAGTTGTCTCTCCAACTCCTGCTGTTGCTTTTAACTGACACACAATGCATATGTTATAGAGTACAGTGTGATGTTTCAACATATGTATATCATATAACAAGCATGACCATTACCTCAAACTTTTGTCATTCATGTATGGAGACCACATAAACTCCTTTTATTAGCTCCAACATTTTAATTTTGTATGTGGCAATGTTTTTAATTGGCATTTGTTTTTGTACCTCCTCCTCCATTCCCTCTTTCTACCCATCTCCATCCCTCAGATCCAGTGATACTCTGACTCCAGTGGTCTCTCTCTGCTTCCATTTCACATGCATTCTATTACTCTTCTCCTATTAATATCTCTTTCTCCCTTTAATGGTCCTCTTTCTAGTTTCACATCTATAAATCCAGGATCCACAGCTAAGAGAAGATGTGCAATATTCGTAGTCTGTCTTATTTCATGTAGCAAAATAATTTCTAGTTTTGTTAATTCTCTGACAAATGTTATAATTTCATTTTTCTTTATGGCTGAATAAAACCCCTTTGTGTCTATGCCCCAAGTTTCCTTTATTAATTCATCTATTGATGGATGTCTAGGTTGGTTCCACTTCTTAGCTACTGTAAATAGTGCATCAATAAACATGTATATAGAGCCAAGATTTGAAGTCTCCTGGAAGGCACCACACTCTGTCACCTCGGGCCTGTGCAATGATGTCCCTCTCTCTTCCAAACACCCCCCTCACTCCCTTTCTCATTTGTCTGGTTTTTACTCATCTATATGATTCCATCTTAGAAACTACCATGTTTTGTTTTCAAATATACTGTCTACATGGTAACAACTTTGAATTGGGGTACCTCAGTCTGGGTGCATCCATTGGTGTGGGCTGTTATCTGGCAGCTGTCAGGATGCTGTTGCTCATGTTCATTTGTGTCTCTGCCCACATCAGCTGTGGAAGCATTCATCACAACATGCAGAATGCGGCTGGTGGTTTGACTGTGAATCCTGAAGACACAGTGGCTCACTCTCGTACGTCCTGAGAAGTAAACGATTGTGGTGGGGAAGTAAAGGGTGGTGGATCAGACCTATTAAGCAACGTTCTCCAAGCCAAAGTCAGAAAGAGGTTATTCGGGCATAATTGCACATTTGGCTTACAACACAGTCCCAATGGCTTTCAGTTCTTTTATGGACTCTTTTCAGAAATATCGCATCACAGTGCTCTTAATGGTGAAGAAAATGATATCGTGTGGAAAAAGCATCAACATTAACCATTCTGTGATGAAAATAATAGAAGCACTCAGTATAAAGAGATTCTAGGAATTCCTTAAGAACCTATCTATGCTCTCTGACCCCATTCCCAGCACATCACCCAGATCTTCTTTCTCCTACAGACTTCCACCACCCTATCCCTTTGTCTCAGCTGCCAACTCACAAAGGCATTACCAGCAAAGACAAGACCAAATGGCAGCACCTAAAATTACAAGCATCCCAAACCCTGATGCCTAGGTTCCAAGGTAAAAACACAACCAATAACAGCCAGGACAATCTGTCCTCACTACAGCCCAGCAACGCTACTATATAGTAGGCCTGGAAAAATGCAATATAGCTGAAGCACAAAGAATTCAAAATAGCTATTATGAATATAATAGGTTCTTAAAAAGGATATGAATAAATCTATTAATGAAATCTATAAAAATATTAAAAAATCTATAAAATATAAACAAAAAGTAGAATGAAATGAAGAAAACAGAACTTGTACAGCCACTGTGGAAATCAATGTGACAGTTCCTCAGAAAGGTGGTAATCAACATACTTCAAGATCCAGGTGTATCTTGGGCATATATCCAGAGAATAACTTATCTTACTACAGGGGGACTTACTTAACCATGCTCATTCTGCTTTATAATACCCAGAACTAGAAATAATCTAGATTTCTGTAAATAGCTAAAGAAAATGTGCTACATTTACACAATGGAATACCACTCAATCATTAATAAATGATTCTATGAAATTTACAGGTAAATGGATGGTGCTAGAAAATATCATCCTGAATGGGATAACCCAGACCCAGAAAGACAAATTTGGTAGGTGTTCACTTATATCTGTGTGTTAACTGTTAAGTCTTGGTTAAATAAGCTACAATTCATGTAACCACAAGTGTTAGGTATAGAGTAGGGGACTAAGGGGGAGGGATAGATCTCCCCAGGAAGGAGAAATAGAATAGACAGCTATGGATGAATGAGGAGGGGGTAGGAATGGAATGGGAGGATTAAACAGGGAGGGGAGGAAAGAGGGGAGATAAGAGAGGGGGATACAGCATAAAAGCTAAAACTAAGAACCATTTGGGGGGTTGTATGAAATCTGAATACAGTAGAAGCTTCTTAAAGTATATATGTGTATGAAGGTGATCTAAAGGAAATCACCAAATAATGGAGGAGACAGAGCCTCAGCTGGACATCTCTTTTTATCAAATGAATCTTCCAGTACTGAGAATGGGTTCCATCTAATCAAGTTGTTGGCCAAAGGGGTCCAATGGGAATCCCCCAAACAATCCAGGCTATGGCCAAGGCTGTTGGTTGCTCACTACAAACTGATAGTAAGGTCCTATTACTGAAGACAACACCTACACAACTCATTGAACACAAAGACTAGTGTTCATGGTACTCGAAAGTACTCTGCATGCTACCAAAGGAGAAAGGTAAACACCAGCCCAGCTACAAAGCCTTTACAATGGGGAGCTACCTACAAGACACACTGGTGCAATGGTGGCATAAAGTTTTCGGGAGTAACCAACCACTATCTGATTTGATTTAAGGCCCAGTCTAAGAGATGGAATCCATACTTGACACTGCTTGGGTGGCCAAGAACCTGAGACCAGGTAGGCCATTGACCTAGGGGAAAACCGAAGTACTCCTGGTCTAATAAAGCACTGTAGCAATAAAATGACTCCTAACAACATTCTGCTATACTCATAGATCCGTGGTGCCTTGCTCAACCATCATCAGAGAAGCTTCCTCCTGCAGCAGATGGAGACAAATACAGAAACTGACAGCCAGACAGTGTGCAGAAAGTGAGAGACCTTGGAATACTCAGCCCTAAATGGAGTCTCCATCAAATGCCTCCCCATAGGGCTCAAAGAACTCTGTGGAAGAAGAAGCAGAAAGAGTGCAAAAGTCAGAGGGGATGGAGGACAGCAAGAAAAAGAAAACAAGACTTTCTAAACACAACAGGACTGATGCACATAATGAAATGATGGAGACTTAGGCAACATACACAGGGACTGACTGCTTGTGTCTATACTAGAAGAGGTCCTAGAGCTGCGAGAAGTAGACACATACCTCCATCCCTAACGCAACAACTACCTCCAACTGGTAACTGCTTGCAAAGGGATAGTTTAGTTTTCTCTAATAGAGTTTTACTGGGTATACAAATCACACTGAGGGCAGGCCTCATTCCCAGCAATAGACAGACAACACAAAATGAATTCAGTGGCTGGCATCTCATAATGCTGTGTCTGGACCTTCCCCCCTGCCCTGCCCCTTCAGGTCCTTTGAGTATATATCATGGCTTCTGATTTGGTGTTTTTATGGGATGCCCCCCACTGTGTGGCTGTGTGTGTGTGTGTGTGTGTGTGTGTGTGTGTGTGTGTGTGTGTGTGTGTGTGATTGTATTTATTGTGTTTCTTATTTGGCTCTTATTTCTGTTTGATTTGTTCTATTCTGATTTTTTTGTTTTATCTAATTTTAATTTATTATTCTTCTGTAGATGTTCATTTTCTATGGAGAGACAGATAGGGTATGGATCGAATGGTGGAAGAAAGGAGAGGAACTGGGAGGAATTGGGGAAGGTGAAACCATAATCAGAATACACTGCATGAAAAAAATCTATTTTCAATAAAAGAAAAAAAAAGAACTGAAGAACTGATCTCCCACCCTAAGATTTCTCCCAGTTGTGCATACAATGATATTTAATAAAAATCCAAGTCAAATAAAGCAAATGGGATATTCTGAGTTCTAAAAAGACAATGTGTCATATTTAGTTGGAGGGAATTTTTCCTTTTGTAGTAGTACATACAATGATGGTGTGTGTTTCAGGTGATGACGTCTTAGAATCGGTGGAACAGCTCTCAAGAACAACTTTTGCTGGTGCCCCAAATCAAACTGGGCCATTACTTGAAAAACTTTCTCATAATCCAGTAGCTCATTAGATCACAAATAGGTATAAGAAATCCTAATTGTCCAGTTAGCTAGTTACTGTCTGCAAGACAGTAAGTGCGGTGTAACATGGATTGTATCCTATTCATTGCTTTCCCCCACAGAGCTAGAATGCAGACATTGTTCAAGAGATACTTGTTTGGATTTGAGGCATAGCTTAGTAGCAGAGTACTTTAGCAAGCAGAAGGTCCTGAATTCAATTCCCAGCATTGCAGAAAAAGAAGAGAGCACTTTGTTTAGATGAATGGATGAGTCTGATTATAGCTGACCTCGTGACCTCTGGGTAGCTCAGAAATAGACAGCTCTAGAGGAATTCTAACTTCACCTCAGCCAAGATGTGCAGATGTGCAGTAAGCTGGTAGTGGAGGACCAAGGGTCAGGAGAAGCCTTCAGCTGCCAAGAAACAGTTAAACTTCGGCCTGAGCAAGGAGCCTCTGCAACACCAATCTTCTGCATTGGAATGCAGCACTCAACTCCTGGTGTTACTGCAACAGTAATGGCTGTGTGCTATGTGACCACCATTCCCTCTTCCATACTGAACACCACATTCTTGAATTTCGACTCTCAGGTAGGCTTATCTCCCTGGTCAAATAAACCCTTTCCTCCCGAACTTGCTTTTTGGTCATGGTGTTTTGTTGCATCAACAGAAACCTTAACTAAGACAAACACCATCTAAGTCATCCTTGTTTTAATGAGGACTGCCGGTGTGATTATGGGGGAGTTTGGCCTGCTAACCTCTTCCTTATGTCCCCCCCAACCCCAGGACTCTGTGATCTTTGTTTATATTAGTTTGGCCTTAGAACCTTCTAACTGAAATACTCTGTGTCCTGTGAGAACCCCAAAGATCCAGCAAGTTATCTTTTACAGAATGTTTAGGGACCCTGAAGGTCTATTAACATTACAAATGTTCCAGGAAGTAAGTCCTTGGGTATTCATTGCTATAGAAGCCCAAAGTGGCCCCCATTTCCTTGCTTGATAGCTTATTAAAAAGTTGGGAATTTTCTACTGGGGTGAGAAAGACAACTTTTACTTGTTTCGTGGGTGGTTTTGAAAAGCCTTGGAGACTCATTCCTAACACAGGTCTATTCGAACGTGTCAAAGGCATTTACCATTCACCCACACATGCAGGGAAGGCAGGAGACAGAATATAGAAGAAATTAGAGCCTCCAGGGTGGAAGGAAGATTTTTTTCCCTCCTGGCAGTAAGGAGGTCTGCACACAGCACCTGGGGTGATGCAAGGCAAGAGCCCTGCAGCCTCACTTACTCCACCCACTCATTGAGGGGAATGCGGAACATCCCAGATGCTCAGACATCCCAGTTTATAACCAAAAAAACATCCTTAATTCAAAGGACTCAGCAACCCTGTATACTTTCTACAGGGCAATCAGCCACTAGTTGTCTGAAGTCTGTCTTGTAGAGAATTTCAAAGTCTTCCTCCCAAAGCAAAAAGATGGTTAAATAACCGGGCAATGACATAGGAGGTCACTTGTCTCCAAGCACCCACTGGGAGTTTAGACTCAGGACAGGTGAGATGTCCAGGTTCTGCTAAGGACATTGACACACAAGCCCATGCATTTTCAGCTGATATGCCAGGATCATGAACACTGATGTCTGGAATCAGCTCTTTTGGGTCTTAAATTCTTCTCATTGCTGGTGACTCTTTGGAAAATGTCCTCAAATTTTACATGTAATGGTAAGTTCCAGTGATGATCCGTGGCAGCCCTTCCCACAACCAGCACTTCACTGGTCTGAATTCTGTTCTAGTTTTATTGCCTCAAACTCCACTCATGACTCCAGACTCCAGAGATGTTGACAGTGTCTCCATCTCCCTGGAACTGGCATTTTAATTCAGCTTTGCTTCCTGCATCCACTCTCTCTCCTCTCCCCACTCCTTCCATCTTCTTCCGCCCCCCCCCCTCTCTCTCACTCTTTATCCATGGACATCCCCTGCTACCTGTAAATGTCGATGATTCTCTCCTTTGACTTTGATTGTATAGAACACCATCCTCTACCTTCACTGTCCTGCTTCTAGCTGGAGTGTCCATTTGGGTTATAAATGTGCCAGTGTGTGTGTGTGTGGGGGGCAGAAGAATGGAAGGCAGGGGCTCCCTGCATACCAGAATAACAAAGGCAGAATTCTTTCCTTCTCCCTCTTCCTCTTATATCCATTTGCTTTCTTTTAATTAGATGAAGAAGAAGCCCAGAAATGAGACCATAAATACTGAGATTACATAAACTAGGTCTCACCCTAACTCTGGCAGTGGACACCTGCTGGGTTTTAAAATAAGGCAGCCTGGATTTTGGTAAGCTTTCCATACCAGTACACGTATAGGCTGAGAAGAAGTCTCATCCCCAAAGGGCAATTTATTGAAACAAACAAACAAAATAAAACAAAACTCCAAGTGTCTAAGAAGGAGTTATGATAAAAGTGCTTTTAAAATCACAACTATATCATGCCCTGACATTTATAATGAAACTGAGATCCAGCCTTAGAGTCCTCAGGAGCACGAGATGGGTCTAAACAACTAGATTAAGACTCTTCTACTAGAAGTGTGCCTCACCTGGGAGGAGTCTGGGGCTTCCCATAGCAATGTGCTTCAGGGGCTGCTGGAATGGCTCATGGTTTGTTCACAAGTGGAAGCCCAATACACACATGCAATTCCTCCAAAGAATAAAAATGATTGCCTCCATTTCCAACCAGGCAGAATGCTAACCTTGACTTGTTTGCTTTCCTCCGCCCTTAGAATTATGTTGACCTAGTCTTTCACTTTGTGATTAAGAGGCATTTAGTGAGCAGTCAAGGTACACCATCCTATAATTGTCCTTGTTCTTGACTCCACCTTGAAATATTTGGATACTGAGTTGAAACATTTTGGAAAATTAGTTAAAAGATGGCTTAAAATTTTTTGCAACTTGAAGAAACCACAAAAGGTCATCAGAGGAGGACCGTAGCCTTCCCCAACCTCCTCAGCACACACATGCTCAGTAGGACTGCCTGCGGATAACTTTAGAAGGCAGAAAACAACTTACAACATAGACAGGAAGAAAATGGCTGTATAATTTTGCTTTAAAGAAACGAGTCTCATTTAGGAACTATTTAATATAAATTGGAGATGGGTAGATAGCCTTTTTCAGACATGTGGGTATCTCGTCTGAATTATACCGAGTTTCAGAGGCCACAGCAAAGGTTGGGTGGTAAGATGGGTGGACAGAGGCCAGGATATGCTTTTCAGGTTACAAAATGGCCCCCGTTGGCTTTTTGTGCTGACACGGAGAGCAGTGTTCTCTTCTATGAGGATAGATGTGGTGAGTCTTGGAAGAGATGGAGGGGTGAGGTAGATCAATTTCACTTCTCTTGGCAGAGAGGGAGCTGCACACAGAGAAGAATTGCAGGTCTGAGGGAGAGGCCATTATTCACACAAATACGGTCAAACATGAAGAAACCAAAGTGCTCCACAGGGCCAGGCCAGCAGCAATTGTGGTAGAGACCCAACCCGGGGGCTGAACTGTGGAGTGCGCCCAGATTTCCCCAAGGCACTTCTGGGTCCCAACCAGACACCACAAATCTGCAAACCCAAATCAGGATTAGCCAGATACCTTCCCATTTCAAGAAAATCCAGAAAACTAAAATTTGATTTGAAATCTCATTTATTTAAAAAATTGGCAGCACACCTAAGGTCTCTTATAAATGTTTTGAAGGTGTGGCTATAGTTTCTATATCAGTGATTCTCAACCTGATATCCTGCATATCAGATACCTACATTACGATTCATAACAGTGGCAAAATTACAATTATGAAGCAGCGATGGAAATAATTTTATGATTGGGGGTTACCATAGCATGAGGAGCTGTATTAAAGGGTCTCAGCATTCGGAAGGTTGAGAACCACTGCTCTATATGAAATGTCCCCTTGTGTGATGAATACTTAGTTTCCAGATGGTGGCACTGTTTGGGGAGGTTCTGGAAACTTGAGGAATGAGGCTTATAAACACTGTCCCCTGTTCCTGGTTCCCGCGTCTCTCTCTCTCTCTCTCTCTGCTTCCTGTCCTCTGTGACTTGAAGACCCTCTCTGACATGATGCCCTGATCAAGTTTGGGATCAAACAACCATGACCTTAGCCTTCTGAAACTGGGAGCCAAAGTAATTCTTTCCTTCTTAAATTGTTCTCTGGGTAATTTGCTCACAGTGATGGTAAAATGAACCAAACCATCTCTGAGGCTGACAGATTATAACTGCATGGAAACTTTCATGAGGTAATGGGGGAAGTTGATGTTGGCTTGTTTTCAAATGAGATCTCATACTGTACCTACCTCAGGCTAGCGTGGAATTCAGTATGTATCCTCAGTATGTGTGGCTCAAACACATGGCAAACCTTCTGCTTCAGCCTCCTGAGTGCTAGGATTGCAGGTGTGAACTGCTGTGCCCAGCTGGGAATGGTGTCCTTATCACAGAGAAAAGGAAGACATTGTAAATGCAGGGAACTGGCAAGAACAGAGGGGAGAAATCTTTTCTAATACTCTTAAGGGTCTTAGTTACTTATTTCTGTGTCAAACCATCATGACCATTTGGTGACTTATAAAAGAAATCATTTAACTGGGCTTATGGTTTCACAGGATTACTGTCCATGCTGGTGAAGTAAAGGTGCAGGGAAGGAGCACCTACGAGATCACATCTTGATCCACAAGTAATAGGGAATGGGGACGACACAAAAAAACCTCAAAGCTCTTTCCCCCATTGATACACCTCCTCCAATAAAG